ATGGTTAGAACAAGAGAGAGAAAAAGAATGTAGAACAAATTACCGGCCATATTAAATTAGAATTTTATATTGCGCAAGTCTGTGAATCTGTGAGCGAAGGAGAGCTAAAATGACTTGGATATATCTTGATGCAAATCTATATTAGCAATTTGAGCGAATTACAGTACAGTTTCGCGTGTGAGAATATAAATTTCGAGAAACAAATCTCTGTCTCCTCTACGCGTCACGAACAAGCAAGCTGAGGAGAATTCGCGTGGTATTTTCGCAGATCGATCCAGAACGCCCCAGGTTGATGCTTTGCGAATGTAGATGTTAGGAGAGCGTTGCATCATTCTCGACGAAATATTTAATCGATAGCTATGTCTCTTAACGTAACATCGCAAAGTCTCTTGTATGAAGAAAAGAACAGAGGATTACTCGCTATCTCTCACGTGTCTCCGATTTATTTTTCGACTCGCTTTTGCTAAAATGTGCCGCTATCATGTTGCTATCTGTCATGCGAGCGATCTCACTCGATCGGTCCTTGTATATCTGCGCATCTCGTCCCAAAAAATTTGCTTAAAAATGGCGAACACGAATATCGATCTGTGTATTCGAATGCAATTTTCAGACTTGTAATTCGACGCAACATCTTCCTCGCAAAATTGTTAAATACTGTATATCTATCATATTCGCGTCTCTATCTCATTTAAATAAATGATCAAATATCGCGTACATGGCCGGGCCGGGAATTAGCAACAATGGGATGACAAACGGACGACACTTGATCGATAATTTGAAGCTCGCATGTAGATCGCGGCAAATCTGTCTCATTACAAAAGACGTGCGCAGATCTGCAGGTATCATACGACAAATTCCCGACATACCGTATTCTTAAGACATTATAAGCTAGGTTGAATATAGAAAATTTTTATACAATTTATAAGACAATGCAATTTGTGCATGCAATCGATTGATTTATTAACGCAAATTTCCTCGTTGGCATTTTTGTTGAATGCACATTTTATGCCCCTTCAGGGCGTGCATCCCGCGATCATCCCGCTTAGTTTTGCACATTCCATCGTAGCTAAAATGTACCGATAAATGACAATGGTCCGATCCTCTGAGTTCCAAACTTTTCCTTAAAATTAAATGTATTAAATCTTGTATTTAATTACATTGAGAATAATTCGCGAAATACCAGAAAATACCAGAAAATAATGATAAAATTCTGAATATCTATTTTTAATTAATTTTTTTAAATTATGCATATGGGGATATATGTTTATACATACATGCATACATATCTTGCATCTCGAGGATATACGTTTGCACATGTACACTACATACATCTACTGTATAAATATATATATATATATATATATATATCCTCATTTGTTATTTTTTATATAATAAGTAACACAATTAGAGACATGTATTCTATAGAACTCAGAGAGGAATAAAGATGGCGACAGAGCGGAATAATCGCGCGGATTGCCATCACGACGACGTGCCTCGCATCGTCCTCGCATTCCTCGAGAATGCATCTCATCTTAAGTAAGATAGCGCTCTCGTTCGAGTAAAAATTCCGCGAGGTTTATTATTATCGTATGCTTCTCCCTATCACTCATCCATATAACGATATTTATCGTGCGTCTCTCGCGCGAGAGATCTCTCTCGGTGCGCGGCCGTTGCGCGGCCATCGTATGTATGTATCTTTATCTCTTTGACTCTATCACTTTGATCTTTCGTAGTCGCGACAAACGACGAGGTCCAATTAGTTTTAACCAAGATTTAGCCAAAAACGCGAGGAAAAAGAAAAGCTCATCGAATATTCGTAATATGGAGGTTAAAGCAACAAGAGCAACAAGGATCAAGGTGTCCAGAGACACGTCCTCATTTTCGGATATCCGTGTTGTTTGAAAAGTCGCGTTGCGATGCATCACGATGCGACTAGAGACACTTGTTCCTTTTTTACGAGACAGCGCTTCTTTTTACGATACACCACGTCGTGTCCACCACGCTTATCGAATTATTGCAAACGATGCACTACCAAACTAACACGCTAATCGCCGGGTCTCGT